GGGAACGACACTCTGCAGACGCGCGATGAACCAACGCGTCGTATCCTAGCACGAACGCACTGGCAGGCGCTAACGCGTGGCGGCCTGCGTAACTGGCTGTGTAAGAGCTTGTGGCCTCTGCCCTTACACTCTCTCAGCAATCATGTGACCACGTCGGGTAACGAGACTCTGCAGACGCGTGATGAACCCACGTGCTCCCGCGGGGCGGGGCATGCTGCAACGAGAGTTCGGGACGAGTAACAGCAACAGAGACTACGTTGAATTCATGTTGTGCTCCATTCGTAAAGACGCGTTAACATCGAGCAAGGTTCCCGTGACGAACGGAACATTTAGGTGGACACATGCGCTGCTTCACATGCTACTCATGGTTCCCTTCAGCGGGAGATGATATAATTCTTTATGCATATCGCATTCAGAAAGAAAAAAGTCCATAATAAGGTGTCGAACGATCGCAGGAGGACGAAATCCCGGATGCGACGCTGATTGAGTTCGACGAGCTCGACGATGGCGAATACGATGACGATTGGAGCTCCGACTCGTGGCTCAGCATGGACTCGGACTCCGACTACGAGCAGGACGGTAACTTGAACAAACATTACTGCAATCACGCCTCATCACCACTCAAGCGTGCATGTGTATATCGACTCGAGCTTGAAGCGAAAGGCAGTTTTCTGCTTATCAGCGATATGTCCAACGTTTCAACGTGTGCTACGTTGCGATCAGAAATCATTGAACAATTCCCCCGCGTAGAGCCTCAATTTTCCCCTAAACATCTATTCAGTTTTAGTTCGCGCTTCTATGCCTCACTATTCCGATATACGCGTTGTAAGCTGCTTTACGCACTGGCCGTGTGTCATGTTTAAAACATGCTGAAGACCATATTCAGGGGTCTAAATTTTTTCACAAGCGCGTGATGTACTTATATAATAACTACATATAGTAATCAGGTTACAAATCAGGCGAGTTTAATGCACGCATGATCGTCAGCGCAATCAAGACGCAGGACTGCAAAAAAGTACGTGACCCAAGCGCTGTCTGACCACTGAATTAACTGAACAATTAACCAAAGCTAAACGTAAAGGGTGGCATTAATAGACGACCAGACTATGCAACCTCCCCCCCCTCCAAATAAAAACCACCCCCACGCCTATGAAGTGCAAGCAAATGGTGGAGCTCGCAAGCAACTTCTTTCTTTCACTATATATTGTACTCTTTATTCCTTCTTATCCCTAACATCAGTTCCCCGCACCCTCACATACCTTTTCCACCTTCTTGCTAATGTACAAGGCTATGTCATGATCTAACCATTACTTTCCTCATTTCCTTTATCCTCGCCTTAACCAGCGCTCCATGTTTGTATATAGTCGATGTACAGGGGCACTTGTAGCGACGTCACGGCGTGTATAGCTCTGCCCAACCCAAAGCTCGTCACCACCCTCTATGATCACGTGACAACTGACACAGCAGCTGCTTCAAAGCTGCCACCGAACAACAGCTCGTCGGGCGGTGGCGGGCTTCGGGCTGGGCGGAACATGTATGCACCGCGACTTCGATGCGAGGGCGTCCAAGTATGCCGACGGCAACTACCCTTGTTTACAAACACGGAAGAGGTCTGTAAAAGACGGTCCGGCTCTGAAACGACGTTTTTTTTTTCTAAAATAAAATTGTTGGTTGGAGTTTTCTCATTTCGCTATGCTTTAATCTCTTCCCTCCTCCTCAACCTCCTTCGGTAGGTCGAAAGCAAAACTGCTTCCGCTTGAACAGCTTCGATGCGAAAAATTGGGGGACCCTTAAGCTTCGCCTTTAAGAGTTGAACGCGATAGCGAAATCTGGCCCTTAGTTCACCCTTCAACCGCTAAGTGTACACTTATTCATCTGTTTTGTTACATACACACGTGCGCACACAAACACGCATACATGGGGTCATCAAAGTGCTGGAACATTAGTCACCTGTAGTTCTTTTTTAATTTATATTAGCTCGAAGCTTCCACGAAATCGCAAGAAAATTGTAGTTGAGCAACACTGAACCTCAGAAGGCTGTCTTGCTGGGCAAGTTGGTTATATTCCGTTATTCGCCGTAACGGGAAAGGCGCAGAAAGGACAGCGCTGTGTTTGTGTTCTCTGTGTCTTCTGCGCTGCATTTATTAATTGAGCAAATGTTTTGTACGCTGCCGTAGGTCCATGTCCTGGAGCATTCTTAGTGCCCGTATCATTAAAAAAAACACCCGTGTCGGCTCATTTTCAATCACGATCAAAGGCGATTATACAGCGGAGTGAGCGCACTGCCACACGGTTGCATGGCGCAGGGCACACGGAGTCCCTCACGGGAGTGATCACCCAGACAGGGTACGAGCTGAGCAGCCTTGGAGGGCAGAAGCTGGAGAGCGAAGAAGAGTACGAGGACGAGGAGGAGTCGGAGGAGAACAACGTAAGCCTGCTGCATGCTCTCGGAATTCCTGTGTTACATTAGTGGTGCAGGTGGGCACTCCCGCATGTTCTCGAAAAAGCGTTTCACTTCGATGTCGGTCTGAGTGCGGCGACGTCGTGTGATATACATGCATGCTTCATGCGCTTACTGCTACCGTCGAGTACGTCGACCCGGTGTTGCGCTGTGAAGGTTTGATTCCCGGCCTCGGAAGCCCCATTTCGATGGAGGCGAAACGCAGGAATGCCAACGAACTAATTAAGATTCGATAATACTGTCTCCTGCTTCACGTGCCAAGTTTACGATACAATCATGGGACACGCCGCAGTACTAGACGCGTATCACGTTGTAACCTTGACCTCTAACGAAAATTATTAAGCACAATGCTTAGAGGACCAAGACTAGAATACGAAGAACCACAACATTGAACTATATGTTCGTGCGTGCGGTTGTTCGTCTTCTAAGCGGAGCGCAATATGATACCAACTGGCACAAGCAAGTTCACTAGCGAGAACCTAAAGTTAAGCGGACGATCGCTCTTGTGTCTCGCCCCCATGTTGCAAGGAATTCAAACTGCGTGCTTGAGCTGGGCATGCGGTTCAACATCTCAGCCGATCAGCTCAACGGCGAGCGTACGCGTGGATTTAGGGAACTGTGAGAGAACCCAAGGTGACCCTATGTAAAGAAACAACTGATCTAGTTATGACATGTCCTGTTCAATCTGACTACTAATTAAAATTTTTTTGCGTATATATATATATATATATATATATATATATATATATATATATATATATATATATATATATATATATATATATAGGTGTTTTTGTTCTTGTTTGTTATTGTATGTGTTATAGCGTTCCTTTTCAGTTTTTTTTGTGTGGCTATTTATAGTACTGTATTATTTGTTTCTGCAGATCATCCTTTATTCATTACATAACTCTTTAGTTGAGTTTGTCTTAAGTGTCATTCTAAATTTTTACATCTTGAACCCACTACACCGTATTGTTATGGGCCCACACAGTTTTTACAGAGTTGTGGAGAGAAATAATTTATTGAACAATTCAGCCAAATTTTTTAGCCATGCGCGGCACGCAGGCTTACGAGCAGAGCACGAAGTCACCACTTACTCGAATGCCTTCTCTCCACAAAGAGGCCCCACTCACGTCAGTGGGCGGAGCACCATATGTCGTCAAACAGCAGACTGCTGCTATTGGTCGATAGCTGACCTACATTAGGAGCCGCGTTTGGACCACGACCTCCTCTATAAACTTACGACCTGCTCACCGGCGCCATCCCTACGGAGGCGTATGGAGCTAAAAATTGGCGTGTAGGGACCGGAAGTACCGTCAGATGCCGCCACCACTTACCCCCATAGCAGACGACGCACGACCGTCGTGGTGCACTCGTGTGTGCGCGTTCCTCTCATTGTTCTAGTTTCTAACGCGTGGATCGAGCAATCCACTGATTTAACGTCTCGAAGCAACATTCTGGTTGTGAGAAGCACCGTGGTGGATGGCTTCGGGATGCTCGTTACCGGACCTCAATCTTTGCGCGAGCGCTTTTGCGTCCCCATCTAAGTGCAGGCAAACGAAAGCAATATGCGACACATAACCCAGAGAACGTAAGTCTTATTTCCTCGCTTTATTTTAAGCGGCGGCGCCCCACCTAACCGCTGTCTGGCAGCCGCAAACATAATTCGTTCGTGGGCGAGCCGGTGCGATTTTGCATGTAACAAGTTGAAACTTGAAACCGACGTGTCTACGACGTAAATGAAGACGACATACGGTACGAGCGACGCATGCGATAACCCGTGTAAGTTTTTATGACCTGAACGTCGCCCTTCAAGCATATCGTTGTCATACTGTGCACGGATGACGACAGAGGGGCGCAGTTGTGCTATCGTCTGGGTGCTTTGGGTCTAGCGAACGTCTAACGATGGAAGCGTGCGACAAAACCGGCGGATTATCGCAACGTTACAGCAATTTCTCGTACATACATATATTATCAGACACAGTTTATTGAAGTTATGGCCTCTGTTCGAGCGTCGCTAGCATTTCCGCGTGTCTCACATCGGCGGTGCGCCCACGCCTTTACTGGAGCATCCACATACAAAGCATTACGAGGCAACAGCTCTAGCGTGCTCCGTTTCCCTCATGGGAATAACGTTGTATAGAAACGAGAGTTTTATTTATAATCTAAAGCATGAGTTCTAACTAGCTAAATCACTTTGCACTGTCCCTATTCTATTCCACGAACTTTTAGCATTAACCCACATGGTATTACCCACCAATAATGTACTATTCCTGATGCTTCAGCTGCCAATTGTTTCGTTCACAACATGCCTGTGATGCATGCTGTACCGACACACATCAAAAGCCTCTGTGGCATGGGATTGAAGAACAAAATTTTATTTCACCTGATGCCTTCACCCTTACAATAAAATGCTTAGAAGTCCCTTATGACCGCTACAAATGTGCATAAGTTGCTTGCTCAGTGCTAAAAATGTGAATTTTCCATTTGTAAGTGGCTGTATTCACACTGTAAAATGGCAAGAAACAGACAAGTAAGCTTATGGTTCAAACAAATGTTTTATTCCCAGAACAATGGTACACTGCAGCAACAGTAGTAAATAATATGCTTGTCCAAACATTGCTTTTTAAGCATCAGATACCAGTACAGGAAAATCTAATCTGCAACGAAAATGTTGATACCTGCAAAATGCAATTTATTAGTGCACAAAAACATTAACAGTGTGATCAGCAATACCTCTTGCGCACTGTCTCCTCACGCCATAGTCCTTTCTTTTTGCCCAGAAAAGCAAGCTGGTCTTGAAGGAACAGAGCTTTTTCGTTGCTCTCCTCCACCTTTTGCTGCAAGTATGATATAAGCAGGTAGTGAGATTTTTTTTTTAATGTTCAAAAAGAGATAAGTTCACACCTGGAGGATTTCGACGTTTGTTCTCTTCATCGACAAGGACGCCTTTTTTGCCTCCTGCCTCAGAGTGGAGAGCTCTTCCTGTAGGTGATGCTGCTTTTTCTGAAGCCTTTGACACTTCCGGGTAAGGTTTTGCACTTTCCTCGGGAGATTGGTCATTCGGGACAGTGAAAGCCTAGTCTGCATTCCACGTGGTCTGGTTGCCTTTGATGGACTTGTCTGGCACTGGACAGTTTTGCCATGTTTGGGCATCTGATATGTTTTAGGCAAGCAGAAAGAAGATTCAGGTGCAGGCAAAATTAAAGGCAGAGAGGAGGGTTCACTGCAGGGTTCTGTCAGCATTTCATCCTCCTGATGTGCGGTACTGCTGCCAGCCACACAATTGTCTTCCTGCTCATCAATCTTCTCAGACGGGTACCTATAAGGAGAGGGCATGTCTGGCCTGCAACATTAAGAATTTCGACGTGTTACAGGATGAAGCATGTATTAGAAGAAATTTGGGCGTGGCTAAACAAACACTAATTACACAAAAAAAGCTTACCTATTTTTCTTTGCTTCTGCATGAGGCTTGTCTGGTGACAGCCCTGGCACAGCACACCTTTTCACAGGCTGTCGCTCTTTTCGGGATGGTTCCTGCATATACCCTGGGTAGCTCGGGAATATTGAAGGTATGGCATCTGGTTTTAGTTTGCGCAGCTTCAGGCCTTCTCTGTAATCTTCTGGCTTGAAATGCAAGCTGCATACCTTGCTGCGGTCGCTCGGCTCCCATGGCTGTTTTCCTGGTCCTACAAATATTGTATTTAAGACCGCACCAGAATTATCAGATATTAGGCAATCGATTAAGAATTAGCCTTTTAGTAACCTTCACAACGTGACAGAAAAGGATCTCTAGTATATTCACTAGTTGAATCTCTTACCATTTCAATTTACTAGCAGCTGCATCAGTTCAGGGCAGATCCATTTGCGCCTATTTCCCTTAGTTTTGTTATAAAACAACGCCAGCGCAAAACAATAGTGTAATAAATAAAACAAATTTCTCAACAAAGCAACACCGATGTGCATCAGAGCGGAATAGTTGAAAGTAAGTGCTCTACCCCTGACACGGCCACGTGCACGGAGTCTTGCGGCAACAAAGGACAGTACAACAAAGGAAAAATGTAGCATGGGCTGCAGCCCCTTAGCCAGGAAATTTTTTCGTGGCGGGGGGCACTTGCTGAAAACCTTGACTATTTGAGAAAAACGCCTATTTTTATTATTTATTTTTGGTAAAAACACATAGTTCAACAGAATTACGTGCCCCCCCCCCCCCTTTCCCTGGCTGAGGGCCTGATGGGCTGTGTACACGATCGGCGTCCACGAATCCCACAAACAGCACTTGTGTTTCTAGACACCAGCCAACAACGCTGAGCAGCATACATAGCGCGCAAAAAAGTTTTGAACTGCATTCCACTAGTCAGATCTTGCAGTGCATGCAATACAGCACTTTCAGTGCCTTACCTTCAGCCTGTCGAGAGATCTTCTTCAACCACTCCTGTCAAATCTGGGTGACGGAGAACTCGTGAAACGATATCCCAGTTGACCGCCGATCGTTCGACTTGCAAAAAGGAACGCAGCAGTACACCATTGCGGGAATGGTGCTGCTGCTGTCGTTATCTAACGCTCCTGACTGCGCAGACTACTGGTGACAAGCGATAGCGGCGATAGCCTTCGAGTGCCACAAGATCACGCGAACGCACGCATGCACCAAGCGGAACAGCGGCTTGGCGGCTGCAGCAGTGGGGGTTAGTTGTAGCGCCAAGGCGTGCTGCGGCACTTTCGAGAACTAAAAAAAACTAAACAAGCAAAAGCAAAACCGGCGACACGGGGAGCGGCGGCATGAGCAGGTCGTAAGTTTATAGAGGAGGTCGTGGTTAGGACACCACCTTCTAAAATTCTCCTACTAAATTCTCCTACAACACCTCCTACAACAATATTTAGGAGGTGTTGGTTTGGATGAGATAGACTTCTTGCCGCACGAAACACTTGCCCGCACCAGAAAGCGCGATGGTGTTTTTTTGCGTTTTTTGACGCGCGGGGACGTATCTTCTGGCCCCCGTGTCATCCCTTCCTGTGTGGCATCAAGCGCGCTCGTCTGGACGATAAGAGAGTACGTGCTTGAAGCGTGCGACAGCCGGCCCATGAAGCTCCACTCGATTCTCGTCGGATTCGAGCGATTTTTGTGGCAGTTGATTCGTGACCCAATCAACTGCAATACAGATATATCATATCATTATATTGATTTTTAAGTGGCTTACGACCTTTTTTTTTTCGTAGACATTTTAGGAAGCACTTGTAGCATGGCGCCAGGTTGCTTTTATCATGTCTGCGGGGTGAGATTATTGACGCGTCATCTGGATGCTTGATCTTTCATTGCTTTTTGTCAAAGGTACGGGTTCAGAGACACTTGATTGACACTTTATTCTTGTTATAAGCGAAATGAAGACACATGCAGAGAGAAACTGTGATGTAAATGTCTCCGTGCGTTAATTCTATCCTCAATATGAGTATGAATATATTTTCTGTTGGTATACAACATGGATGAAGTGTCAAGCAAAGGACTCGTTTTTATAGCATAACAGCATTGAGTGACCTTAACACCTGCGTACTTACTGCGTACCTCTGCTACCCACGTAATCAAAAACAGAGGCGCGACGGAGCAGAGGACGACGAGTTGCCGTCCGATGCGGAGAACGACGACAGCGAGCTAATGAGGAACATCGAGGAACTGATGGAGATGGGTGACTCGCTGATGCAGCAGCTGGAGATCACCATCATGCGAGCGCTGGGAACTGCCAACGCCAGGATCTCGCGGTGCTGTCGGTTCTCGTACAGGCGTGCTCCTTAGCGCCACACCACAGGTGGCGGCTGCTGCACGTACCACTGTTGAGTGACGGGAGTATGTTCGGTTCCCTTGCACCAATAAAGACATGTTAGAGCTTATTACCTCACAAATACAACACGGCAAAATTTTTAAAAACCCGTCCAGTGTGAATAGAGTTTCAAAGATTGGTCTCTCGCAGGGCCATACCCAGGAATTTTTTTCGGGGGGGTTTGCGTGTAGAACGGCTGCCATTTTTTAAGATTTATACTGGCTTATTTTTATGAATAAAACAAGTACATCGCTTACTTGTAATAATTCGATGGTACTTATAATATTATTTGTACCCAAATAAAGAAATTGGTATGTCAACCTCAAATTCTGGTTAAAGCAAGAAATAAGTTTGGACAATAGCACCATCAAAGCCGGGGACACCGCGACCAACGGCTCCTGATGAAGTAACACAATGTAACCGCGGTACAAAAACGGTATGTATGTGTTACAAGCTATCACTCTAGCGTCGCCAGCGCGAAGTCGGCGACGGGAATGGCAGCAGGTTAGGTCGTTCCGTACGTAAGCAGAGACAGTGAAGAGATCAGAGACGTATGTGGGGAAAACCAAAACTCTAGTGATATTGCAGCACTGTAGAGGAATCTAGGAATATTGCAGAGGATTCTAGTACAACACTTAATACCAACTAACAAAATACATATAAAATCAATAAATCAGCTTACAAGAGAGAAGTATTACAAACTACACAAAACTAACCAACAATAAAACTACAGATGAGAAAGTCCGAAGGTATGAACAGGTGAAGGGATACCTGTGATGACCGGCAGCGTTGAGTCCACGACGATCGGATGCGAGAAGTCAGAGTTCTGGCACAACTGCGATGTCGGCGGTGTTGCAGCGCTGGTGTTTCCGGGAGGCTAGTGCTTGAAGCTGATCTCGGGCAGGTTGAGCTTACTCGAGATTCAAGTACCGATGCCTACGTTACAGACGTTAATTTCGCGTCACAACTAGACGAATGGCTAAGTTTAGGTGGCCAGCCGACACGGAGCCACAACCACTTAAGGGATACTTCTTGATCTCCTTCTACACCATGTTGGTCAGCAACTAGACTGCTTAGCAAGGCGAAATCCTGCTCTTAAATCGACCTCCCCTGATTCTCGTCCTGGGGGAAAAGAGACCTCTCATGGGTCCAATCATGCACGTTTCATTGTTAGAAACTCCACCCTAAAAATATATTGACCACGTCCCTTTTTAATTAGGAGAGGGTTCTCAACTGAGCCAGAGTGACAACCTGTTGGGGTTCTCTCACACGGCTTGTCCACAAGCAGTTTTGCCCGTGGGAATGGTCAGTTTCCTTGGTTTCAGCCGGTGCGTCTTGCAGTCTACAGCTAGTTCGGGGTGCATCGCGGCCTTTGACGACCCTGCCGACGCCGCCGTAGGTACAAAAGATCAAACATCGGCGACTAACGTTTGAAGAAGAACACCCCATTCAGTATTTCCCTGCACTAAAGGCCAGTCTTTTCATGAGCGAACGGTTCCACCGGTCAGTGGGGGAGTGCCGCGCCCGTTAATTTGCCGTTACGCCGGGTCGCAAAAATGGCAGTCCGTGACAGCATGTATGCAAGCAAACAAACAAGTCGCCCGACATTCCGATCTTGTTACCGTTCGCACATTCTGCTTGCTGGATAGTTTCCTCGTAATTGCGAAAGGATAGAAGGGTTGAAGCTTGGGCTAGCTGGGTTTAGCTTTTAATCGACTCTTGAAACATAGAGGGAAGTTTAAACGAGGAAGTTTTTCCTTCTCGGCAACTTGCAAAATTCTGTGAGGACTTCTTCTGGGGTCACTTGAAGTTCTCGATGGATGCTGAGCAGTGCTAGTCCGGTCAATCTGTCGTTGTTCATATGATTTCGAAGGTAGCTCTTCAGCCTTCTCAGTGTGGAAAAAGTCCGTTCCGGGGTCGACGTCGACACGGGTAAAGTCGCCAGGATAGAAAGTAGGCTGTGGATGTTCGGAAAAAAGTCGCGGTTGCACATCTCTAAGGCCTGTAAAGCACAAGCTGGGCGATTCTTTTCTTCGATTTGGCAGCATTTTTTCATCCACAGCGTGAACTCTGCTTCGATGACATTAGCCGAAGGAATGTCGCCAAGGTAAAGCTGCACTGCATCATCAATATCAGAAAGGCTAGCCGATGCGCAGAATTTCGGCAGCAGCATGTTAAGGCCAAGCACGACCTTCTTATGGGCATCGAACCGGTCTCTTAATTGATTTTCGAAGTCAGCCAGCAAAGGCAAATACACATTCCTCCGGTAGTACTCTCCGGGAGTAGCAGAAGGTACGTTGCTTCTTTGCATCTGCCTTCCAGTGATGCGTGGTAAGGCCATCTCAACATTTGTGATTTTCAGCAAAGAGAGCGACTTCAGAAAAATCTTATTAAATTCCGTTTCCGCACTAGCCCTTTTTGTGGAAAGAACGTCTATAACATTCTTTACGTGATCGCACGCTTGAGCCAAGTCACAGTCAATTTTTTGAAGAAACTTGCAAAGTGGCAGTGTCAAAGAGAAAAGGTCGCTACAGATATGAAGCGAAACGACAAACTCGGGCTTCGTAATGGCATTGAACAGTTGAGAAGCTTTCGATGAAGTATTAGATGACGCGGCCTCTTCTTCAAAATATTCGAGGAATTGTACAATAGCCACGTACAGTTCAAGGAAACGCTGAAGTACATCGTGACTCTCTACCCACCTTGTTTGGCAAAAGGAGAGAACTGATTTTCTTTTTTCTTGTGTTAAATCTTCTACTTTGTCTCGCAGTTGGTTCGTCCTCTGTGGCGAAGCCCTCACAAAAGTACAGGTTGAGGATACAGTTCCCAAAGAGTTGCGGATGCTGGGGAGTTTGCATGCGTGAAGCAGAGCAAGGTTCAACGAGTGGGCGCTACAATGCACGTACAACGCTTTGGGCGCTGTTTGACGAATGAAGGCTTGAACACCGTTAAGGTGGCCGCTCATTGATGCCGCGCCGTCGTATCCTTGCCCACAAAGTAGGTTCAGGTCAAAGCCATGACCTCTAAGGCTGTTCAGGATTGTGCTCGCCAGCGCCTTGCCAGTTAGATCGTACACGGGAACGAAATCTACAAAATCTTCTTTAAGAATGGGCACTCCCGACGTGTCGTGTCCAACGTACCTTACACATAGGGAAATGTGGGCGGTGCGAGATATATCAGTGGCCTCGTCAGCTAGAACTGAAAAACACGAACATGAGTTGACATTTCCACTATCTTTCTTTGTATGCTTTTACCACAGAGGGTGATCAACTCATTTTGAATTTTTGGGCTCGTGTACAGCGCATTCGCCGGAGATGTTTCCATGTGAGCTCTCAAGGCGGCATCTCCACATTTTGCTCTCATGCTAAGCAGTGCGCGGAAATTTCCATCATTTTTGAATGGCAGCACTTCAGACATAATTATCGGACCAGAGTCGTCTGTGTCGCGAAGCGGTACTTCTTGCCTGCCACAGAAAAAGGACTGTTTCTATTATTGGCAGCAAGTTCTTGCGGTTTTCTTCCGCCTGCTTTTTAAGGCCGTGGTCAAGTTGTGTTAAGATGTCATGCTGTGAGCGGGACCGGACTGCTAAAAAGTTCTCCGATAGCGTTGTTGACATGGCGTGATAACTGCTGGATGCGTGGCTCTTAAAGGCGTCCATGGCTTTCTTGTAATTAGTGAACTCCTTAGTTACAAAACAGCACAAGCGCTGGTGCTCCCCTTTTCCTGCACACTCGCTTGCGAAGACTACGCAATATTTGCATAATGCTCCTTGAAGCTTCTCTGAATAAACAAGCCATGGGTAAGGATCTACCCAGTGAGGTTGGAACTTCAGATTCCTTTTCCCTGTGGCTGGATAATTATAGTTAGCCGGAGGGGTCGACGGATTGAGCAGCAGCTTCTCCATCGTCTCTGGATCATTTACATTATTGCTTTTCGAGACAAACAGTCCCAAGTCGAAAATATTCGCACTCGTCGCACAGAGGGGAGGCGAACCAGAATGTGTAGGTGCCATGCCACTCACCTTCCTTGGGCATTGCCCAGTGGTAAAGGCGTCACTTTGCCCAACGTTGACTGTAGAACAAAGATCACTTGGAGTTGCACTGCGGCCACTATCATTTCCCGGCGGCGCATGGGTGTCCTGCTTGTGTTCGTTCTCAGGTGATTCATATAAACCGGTGCATTCTCCCGAGTCGCTACAGAAGTTCGGACGCGCTTGGCTTTCCACCAGTGCTGAGGAGGGCGAAGTTTTATCCTTCGAAGGAGGCGGTGCTTCTCCGTCCGCTTCATCGGTTCGAACTTTCTTGGAGTAAGACGCAAGACTCCTTTGCTTCGTTGTTGCAGAGTGTCTTTTCATTTTGCTGCCGCAATCCTGTGCACGCACACAGAAGTGGCCAGTGGCTCCAAAAAGACGTTTGCGACTGCTTCGACTGCCTGGCGTGAATGGCGGGCGATGTTTTCTTCCTCTCTTATCCACTAGTGGCTAGAATGTAGAAGTGTGATGAACGCGCCGGCTCCCGCGTGGCGCATGTGTTTTCTGAACGCCGCTACAGCTAGTGTGCATGCAGTCCCATTATTGTACTCCAGCTGCAAACTGGATTAACGCTACTTAAAGACCTTTTCACAGAAGACTCCATGGGCACTGCATACTCCCCTTAAGGCGGCGGTCTCACTCCGGCGGCACGAACACATCGTTTTTGTCACTTTTCCAACTGACGTGGCGGCTGTTCTTCTTGTCCTATATAGTTGGTTTATGAGTCATTCAAACGCTTACTTTTTGTACATTTTAAAGATATCTATTAAAAATAAGTAAGCTTTTAGCATTTGGGTAGGGAGAGCCAAGAATAAGCGCTAGTTACATGGTTTGGTCTGACTGTGTGTCAGCAGTGACCATTTTCTGAAAAATCTGCTGCAGTTACAGCACTGTTCTTTGCGCAGAACATTTAAGACATATTTATCTATTTCCTCAACGTAGCAAATTATTCTAGCACTTTTACTGTATTGCTGATTAGCTTTTGAAAAGAGCCAAATTTAGTAAATGTCGATACGAACTATCCGGCACCTATTCGCTAGAGAAAATTCATTTTCTGGGTGTATATAGAGGATGTCATTTTCCGTTTGAGTGCTCAATTTTATTTATGTACGCCCGCTCACTTTTTAATTATATTGATCTAAATTGGGCAATATTTTCATTAGATAGACCTACCGTGGCCCATTTTTGCGGAGAACTACTGAAGTTCGTTTGCTGAATTTGCACGTAGATAAACTAGAACCCCTGATCTATTTCCTCAACGTAGCGTTTTTCAATAAAGTAAGCAGAAATGCGAAACAAAGCTCGCGAATTGTCTTAATTTATCGTGCCGTAAACATCAACAAAGTCGTTGTTATCTTGAAATAGCAATGAAATCTAAGCATGCATAGCCTAAACTATAACAGTTACGGTCTCCTGGTATACTTATGCACACGAATCGCACACAACAGCTGCAGGAATATTGAGAAATCTACATTATTCCTATCACTACAACGAAAATCTTCCCCTAGCGCCACCTAAACAAAAATAAGGAAAGCGCTGAATTTGAAGGTTCCCTGTCTTCCGAATGCGGCGTGCAAAAACATTTTGCCTCAGGAGGAAACGTCTTTCCTAACTTCAAACCATGCACCGTCATCTGTAAGCCTTCCTCCCCTCAGAGTCTCATAAGGCTGCGCGGTACCGCGGGAGAGCGTGAAAACAGGTCGGCAGTATCCTCCGAGAGGGTGGGGTGAGCGTCTTCACAGGAAAAGAAAGGCCGAATTCATGGAAAGTCCCTCTTTTATGTGTGCACGTCTTTGTCGCCCTCCTCACCCCCCACGGACTAAAGCGAAAAGCGAGGGCTGTGCGACGACAGTCAGAAGAAAGCAGAAAAACGAACGACAAACGAGCGATACGAGCGAACTGAGCAGACGTGCGTGAGTAAGGTATTTGTGAATATCTTTTTTTTTTACCGTGAAATATACGGAGCTTCAGACGTGCTGCGCTTGTTCGTATGAACCCATCACAACAAACAGCACAAACACGAAACGAGGCACACCTACAGGAATGAGATGAAGTCTGTTTTGTACTTTCTGCGTGTTTATTTCATTTATTTACTTTGGGGAAAACTACGGTGCGGCAGGAGTTGAGGACGCGTGTTCGCTTTCCGCCTTTATATACGAAAAGCCCACATTTCCATAGCGCCGAAATGCGCGAACACCAATGTTCTGGAGTACCCCATGACGGCGTTCCTCATAATCACTGCAAACTCGCTCTAAGGGGACGCGGGTGCTTGCAATCTCTTCTCTCGAAGTCAGCTGTGAATATCCGTCATCGGTTTCAATAAACCACAAAACCGAGCAATATTTATTCCGTTGCTCACTGCATAAACTGGCTAAAATCATGCTACTGCCTGAAGATCTTGCAGATTTTTCAGCCAGTAACAACAAAGCGAAGTGGCATGAAATTTGCTGAATGCACGGCGTGGTGTAAGAAAGTACTTCGGTGCGGGGACAGCAATGAGGCACCAGGGCTCTTGTTTTTTTCTGCTTTGAAGCACCCGCGACAAGTGAGGTCCTTCAGGGAGGCAGAAAGGCGGATAACTTTTGACTATGCTCCCACTGAGCAGGTCTGGTGGGGGAGCAGCAGTGGTGAAGCCCATCTACATTTCCTATGCACTGAAAACTTGTTGGTTTTCTTCGGTGCCAGTGTACAACACCATGCGACAAGGCACCCTGCCGACGCTTTCGCCTGAAGGAGAGAGAGAGAGAGAAAGGCAAAGGAAAGGCTTATATGATACCCTACACGGGGAGGGGGAAGGGGAGAAAAAGAATAGAGAAAAATGTCAAGGACATGCGGCACCTGCTGACAATTCGTCATTAGGAAGTCTGCTGTGCGGAGAACTGTCAATGCGTCAAGATAGCAGCTCCTTGACTCGTTAGCGTGAGTCATAAGGCTGACGAGTAGAAATAGCCGATCTTGGACTTACGCCTAGTAGCTCGAAAAGAACAGAAACGTTTCTGAAAGGGATAGGTTTATAAGAAAGTGTGGTGACATCGGTGTGCATAAAACACGTTTACATGAGTGCGAAACATGCGCTTCGCATTCATGTAAGCAATGGAAGGCGCATTGCACTGATGCGTAGGAAATGGGCAGTTTTGCGAGTGCCGGTCGATTCACGGGCCGTAAATCACGATGAGGGGAATGGTGGCCCCCCGTTGTGCGAACTTCGTGCGTCACTCTTTCGCTATAAGGAATTTATTAATATTAGCTCAAGAAAACAAAAAACGTACGTTCGAGAAAGAAGTGGGACGAAGCAGAAATGTCGGGAGCTGAGATATTCCTGCCTCCTGCCACTCCTTTCTCAAGTCATTGTTATTTTGCTCGCGCTAATATGTACCTATTTATATAGTGGTTGATGACGCAGAAAATTGTGCGAATTTCTGTTTCCCGTGCTCGAGGCACGACTAAGCTAATGAGTTATTTTTTTTAGTTCTTTTACATAAACCAACTCGCCCAGCTACAAGTCGCTGTAATCTGATACTCGCTCGCTGTAATCAGACACCACATGGTAGCTGCGGCGTACAGAAGACGAGAGGTCCTGCAAACGGCGTCGCATCACCTTTCCGAAACGCGCTTGCAAAGTCGATGGGCTACTCTGGCATTCGTGTAAAATTGATTACAGCCTGACAGCTCGAAGCAACTGCCAGTTAGTTGGCTGCCAGCTGGGGCGACTAACTTCATTCAACAAGAGGCCGGCACGCAGTCTCCACGGTTGTTGGGAGTGGGGTCCAGTTCCTCTTTCCTCGATAAGAAAGCACGTTTGCGTATAGCCGGGCGTCGACAGTTTGCCGTAAGCCGGCACGACAACTGGCGCATCACGACCATGTAAACGGGGGTAATGCGCTAGAAAGACGTATCCCACAAATGCGCCAGGCAGGTCTGGATTTCGAGGGGTAAGTCGACCCAGAGTACTTTTCACGACAAAGGAACGCCGACCACTCGTCGTGTTGGCCTTGTGTGCACTTCTCGCACACTACAAGACATCTGCGAGAACAGAAAGCAAGAGCTTCTCGGGACTAAAGTCCACTAAATTTTTCTCTTTTACCTAAGTAACGACAACTGCCTCCTCTCCCGACCCTCTCTCACACACAGCCGGTGGCTGCCACCATGTGCTTCCTAACTAGGAAGACTTCCAAAGCCACGTACGTATAAGTAAATTAGCCACGCGCCTATCAGTGAACATTGTGCGAACGCGACGCGCCTTTCCCCTCCAGCTAGTCCCCCGTCAATAGTGAGCGAGGAACGCGTTTTACCAGGTACCAAGAAGGGGTGCCCAAGGCGACACCACTAACACCTGAATAGTCTAGATGGCCTCGCACGAGGGCAGGAGATGTGGAATAACAGCCACTATGCTAGCCTGAAGGTGCGAGGCAGCATGACGAGGGGGGAGGCGGACTGAGTGAGGATAAGGACGGACATAAAAATGCGTGCTCAGCACGGAAGGCGACAGTGCTGTAGTAGCGTGAGACACTAGAGATAGAACGCATTTCTGCCGCATCCTCTGGTGTCCACTGCTCGTGTAGAGGGCTTCTTTAGAGTTTGCTTAGCGTGCGCTGCGAGTGCGTGTGGGAGTACCTGCAGCACAAGTGCCTTGCCGGGCTTCACATGAGTCATGACAAATCATAAGGATAGAGCTTCACGGAAGAGGAAGAGAGCCGCCATCGCGGCATGTCGAGCACGGGCAGCAGCTGCATTTTCACACCATTCAAGGTAAGACCATTTCGATTACTGTGGTTTCTTTTGATAATAAAAGCACGCAGCTACAGCAGCAAAAAGAAAAAAAAACATTATAGAAGCCTATACTTGATACGGTGGCGAGCTCGTTTTGTACCCCAGACGCAATGTGGGCTCCGTAAAGGAAGGAAGGAAGCAGAAGGCAAATTGTCACGTTGTGGGCGACATTCTTTCTATGATCAGCTTTACGTTGCCAGCTACACTGCTATACTTTACTCTATTTTATGTTGGCATGTTAGTTTTGGCGGCTATATATGTACAAAGACAAATTCGTTAGAACTTCTGTTTTAACGGCTTCAGGTGAACAAAACTGTCCAATGCTATATCCCGTACTTTGTCGCTGCAGCGCCTATAGGTGCGTGTACAGGACGCTGGACACGCAGTCACTCCTAGATAATGCGCGCCCGTGAGAAGAAAGTGCTAAGATCTGCGGACGTGTGGTGTCTATAAAAAACCTTGTTTCTTTGTGTATCTGAAATGTCGCTGCCGTGTATCAAAAGGCTAAGGGTAGGTGCTTCTTAGCGCTGTGACGAGAGGTCTGGGCGAATCAGGACCTACAGCACGCTGTGTGTACGTCACAACGCTCCTGCTTGCGTGTTTATCTGCTTGGGCGCCTTTTATTTGTCGTGACCTTGTGCTCCGTCTATCTTTCTGACCTGCACTTGTCCGATCGAACAGCATATTTGCGGGCGGAACATTGAGCAGTGGTGGCAAAGCCCGGCATTTTTGTCTGATGCTGCTTTTTTCGCAAGCACGCGGCGTGCTTGAGAGCTGAGCACTGTAACTGAGAAAGTGTTCTATAAAAGCTAGACTGTGCTCAAAGTAAAAAAAAAGATGCGAGATGCACCCAATCAAATGATTCTGTACACACGAGCGCTTATCCCACAGCGCATGGACACGCGCGCACACAGCGTGTCACATGCCCTATCCGCCCAACCATCCTCTCAAAACGCTATGACGCACTTGTCAATCCGTAATGGTTCATATTTTATCCCGGCCACCCTTTTCTACCGTAAATATGCTTTTTTGGAAACAAAACTATTTAATTTATATATTGATATATTGATTGATTGATTGATTGATTGATTAGGTTCAAGGAAGGCAGCCCAAACACCTGTATCATCTATCTTGCCTTTTATCGACATTCAAGCAACCCATAGTAGACGACTGTCGGAAGAAATTCTTTTCAGTAATTATCCCGACTGAGAAAAGGACTCGCCCTTTTATTTTGAGTTTTGCATCGGTCCCTCACCACACCAGCTTATTATTCATGCCAGCTTTGGAAGTGTAGTTGCTACGATCCCTGTGCATCTGGTGCTAGCTCACTAACCACATGATGTACTTTCCTGTAAAATTTTCAGGAAGGCGAATTCGCCGGAGAGCAACAGAGAGCAACGCCAAAGCGCCGCCTGTACGCCATGCTTGGACGACAGTGGTTTTGCCAGAGAGGATGACGCAACGTCTGAATACTGGGACAATTTCGGCATCGTCGAGGAGTCGCTGCCGGGCCTGAGTCTGGAGACAAGCGTCACAACTCAGCCAGAGGAGCCGATCATCACCGGAAGACGAGTTGTGTCGCTGGCCCATTTCGTGAACGCTGTTCGTAGTCTCGACGACCACAGCTGTCCTAAGCTGACTGGACGTTTTGCACTCGTGAAAGAACGGAGAGTGGGGCTCTGGTCGGAGCTCACTTTTACCTGCAGTGAATGTCAGGAAATCAGAAAGTTGACGACTGACCCCGTCACAGAACCAACGTCCCTCACTGACAAAGCAAACGTAGGAGTCAATGATGCTGCTGTTTGGGCATTCATGAGTATCGGATCGGGCCACTCGCAGTTCGAGGAAGCAATGGCAGTCATGGAAATTCCTGCTATGAGCAAAGGGGCTTTTCTACGCCGGGAGGAGTCCCTGGGAAAGGTAAATAAGCTGATAAATATTTATTTTCTCTTTCTGAAGACGATGAAGGATGTGCTTTATTTTTAGTAAAATTCACGTGAAGTGACAGTGGCACGTGCATGGCAAGCGTTTTGAACGAGAGTACGGCACGATGAGAATTTCTCTGCAACATTTCGTCGTATACAATGAAACGATTGATCGTGAGATGTCAGGATTACAAGTGAGCCAGTAATCGTCCTGTCTAGGAGCTCACTCCCGCATTGACGCAATTACAAAGTGCGGCATCGCTATTGTGAAAACAATTTAGACGTTGTTATCTGCTATAATTTTTGTTTCGTTGCAGTGCTGGAAAACCGTCCTTTTTGACCAAATGATAAAAGCCGGAAAAGAAGAAAAAAAACTCGCGGAAGAAGCTGGGGCTTTCTGTGAGGATGGCATAACCCCCTATATTACAGTGATTGTCGATGGTGGGTGGTCACACCGCAGTCATGGACACCGGTATTCCGCCAACTCTAGTGTCGCTGTGATTATAGGAGAACGCACGAAGAAGCTCCTCTACCTAGGAGTACGAAACAAGCTGTGCAGTACCTGTGAGCACTATTCTAGGACGGGAAAGTGCAAGAAAGACCATGTGTGCTACAAGAATTGGAACCAAAGCTCAGGGGCAATGGAGCCGGATATTATCGTTGAAGGCTTCCAGAGAAGCGTGGAAATGCATGGTGTGGAATACCGGACATTCATAGGAGACGGGGATTCGTCCGTTTTACATCAGATACTCACGAAAGTGGAGTACGGGCGCTTTGTAAAAAAGAGGGAATGTGCAAACCATGTTGTGAAATGTTACACCACTCGGCTCTATGACATAGCCAAAGAAACAAAGGGCAGTTCAGCTTTCCTAAGTGGCCCTAGGATTAAGCGGTTAAAGAATGGTGCACGGAAGGCCATAAAGCACTACGCAAACATTCTTAGAGATGTACAGGGTACTGCACAAAAGCAGCGTGCCCAGAAAGCCGACCTTACGCGCCAGCTTGCGGGTGACCTAATAAATGGCCCAAAACATGTTTTTGGTTGCCACGACAGTTGCAAAGACTACTTCTGTGATGGCACCAAAGGTGACAACATTTATGATGCCATGCCTAAGGTGCTACAAATGAAAATAGTTACCGCTGCCAATATAATTGCCGAAAAAGCTGACCGTCTTGTGACAGATGATACCAGTAATCTTGCCGAGGCAGTCATGGCACTGGTAGCCAAACTATCTGGTGGTAAACAGATCAACAGATGTCAAAAGGGCTCTTATGAACACCGCTGTTATGGAGCTGGGCTCAGCTTTCAGCTGGGGCCACAGTGGCACTGCACCACATCCAAGGCTGTAACCTGCAAGAGCCCCGCAGCCGTCTTGAAGCGCTACGCAAGCAAGAAGACGGCTCAGAAAGCAAACAAAGAGTCTCTCAGAAGAAAACTGTTTGAAGAAAATGGCCACCAGCAGCATAAGCACAAGGAGTCTACGGTGAACGACTCAATGATTCATTATGGTCCGAATTGCCAGCAGCCAGACATGCCACCAGAGCAATATGCCGAGAAAGAACGGGCTGTTTTAGCAAGCCTGCAGGTGAATGAGAAACAGCAGATGGAAATTGAGAAGGCTACTCGAGGACAGGCTGATAATCCTACATGGCATTTTGAAAGAAACATGCGCCTAACGGCGTCGAATTTCTATGCAGTATGCCGAAGGAGGGAGTGGACACCGTGTGACACGCTCGTGAAGACCCTGCTCTATAAAAAAAATTTCACCAGTGCCGCTCTTGAGCATGGAAGACAACAGGAGCGTGTTGCACTCCGGTTATACGAGCAAGAAATGGAAACTGCTGTGCAACCTTGCGGATTATTTGTTTACCCAGAGTACGGATTCTTGGCGGCGTCGCCAGACGGATTAATTGCGAGCGACGGTATCGTGGAGGTGAAGTGCCCATTCACTTCGAAGGACATGAAGCCATCCGAGGCAGCTAAAAAGTACAATCAAAGGAGCCAAGTACACGAACCACCCAAATTGAGCTGCTCTCATAACTATTTCTACCAAGTGCAAGGCCAGCTGCATATCACTAAAAGAAGTTTCTGCCACTTCGTCGTCTGCACGTCGAAGGGCATCCACGTACAGCGGATCGAAAGAGATAATGACTTTTGGAAATTCAGAATGCTTCCACAACTAATCAGATTTTACAGAGACTGCATGTTACCTGAAATTGTAGATCCCCGTACTACGCGCAGCATGCCCATACGCAGACCACAGTGGAATGTGAAAGCAATTGAGTCACACCAGCAGTCTAAACGAGCTTCGATGAAGAACAAGGAGGCAAAGCAGAGTGGCGACTCGGACATTTTCCACAGCCTTGAGTGGTAGGACTGCTGGGCGCGTGCACTGTCAAGAAATTCACCAATTGTGACGATGCTATCTAATGGTGATTTTGAGCGCACTTTCGTGTTGGGGCAACGCCAAGTGCGTCTGTAGTTTCGGCCATCTGCAGTTGTAGCTATTTACATATTTCCACGCAAATTGCCAGTGCTCGAGCGTTACGCATACCACTTTGTGCATTGCAGGCGCCGCGAACCAAGCGAAATGCCGAGAGCCCCGTTACGACAAGCGAAGCCAGCCGCAGTGCACGTGCCAGCCCTGCACGCGCGCGAGCTGCTACCGGGGGGGGGGGGGGGGGGGGCAGCGAGCGTGACGGAGGAAGAAGGCGAGGTTAGAGGCCAGTGGCGAGTGACATCAGCAGACTCCGCGTTCGCTCTCTTTCGTCCTTGTTCGCTCTACTGGTTACGCCGACGACGCCAACAGGCGCCGCCGCTCAACGCAGCAGTATGTGCGTAAGAGCTTCGCTCTAAAGAACTGCACATTAGGAGAACGACCTTGTATATATCGAATGGCAGATGCAGGCTCAGATTTGACGATAGCAAAGACTCTTTCTCGAACAAGCTATGAGGTAGCGATTCACTGCTTTGTGTCGGGTGTGTCATCAGCCATTCACGTGCGTTCTGCAGCAGCAATGACCGAGAGACATGACCACAGAAGCGCCAATAAACTTTTGTAAAAAGTTCGTGTGTGATATAGGATAACGGAAAATAATAATAAAACATACACCTTCATTCTCTGCTGTCACAAGTTCGCATCCGAAAATCGTGATTATATGTACTTTTGCTTTGTGCGATTTCACATTTCTCTGAATGTATGCGTTGTAGTTCTGCGGGCTTTTTTGTGTGTGTGATGTTCAGGTGTCTTCGTGGCTTTAACCAAGTGCTGCCGACGCTCGTTTCGTACTAAATAAATTGTCACAACAACGTGTATTGACTCAATCTTGCTTACTGCATGACAGCCCTTCATTGCATAGCATATACACAACACTAAGACTCGTTGCTTGAAGATATGTTAGCCGACACAGTTATTTGAATTGACCAATCATGCATCCAAAAGCCTTATCCAGTGCGACAAGACCTTTTCTTCAACTCCTTTGCAACTATTGTATTTGTGTACTCATGTTTTTGCCTTGCATGCGCTTTACGAACTCGAAATGTGTACGACATAGAAGTAATACAAGCAGCGGCTGTGTAGAAAGATGCATGGGAGATGCACTGTACCATAAGTCTTCCCCTCCCTTGTTGCACTCCTGGGAGGTTTGTGTGAATCCGCCCCAGTTTTTATCATGAGATGTTTATAGAGCTTGAGGTAACGGCCTCGAATCTACGAGCTTGCAGTCAATAACTGATTTGGGCGAAACGATCACTCTTCATGTTATTGCCACGACCTTTACAGGAAAAAAAAAAGATGTTGAAATAGCGTACGCGAATAGAGAAGTCGTTCCTTGGACAAGGGAATAACGCACCTGGACCATTCAGGCCACGCATGTGCGAGTCTCGCTCATATGACACACAAGAGGTAATTGCTTCATTTTCGTCATAAACATAGTTTGTCGACTAGTCCGATGGTTTGCGTACGGCAACGTGATAAATAAACGCTGCATCAACCAAAACATGAATTCATACTAGCCTGCTGAAGTTTCAATTCTAATGAAATAAATTACGCTACGTATAGTGGGGAAAACTAATGATTATGCAGTCGGCACGTGTTGGGCACCGTGAGTCACAGCGGCCGCACTTCTTAGCACGCGATTTGCCTAACTACCCGTTTTTTTTGTTGTTTTTTTTGAAAATTTGGAAGCTTAGGTCATACTGGGAAGGAAGTATACATAGTCAAATATAATTTGCCTTCTCCTGTCCCACCGAACCGCATCACGCTCCAGCAACCCCAATTATTTGTAGAACGAACTGTTCCGTTGAACCTCGCATGAATACTCATAGTCCAAGTTTTGATCTCCATTGTATACATTGTTGTGACCTCCGCGATAGAGTTTTTCACTCAACCCCGCATTCCGGCACTGTATGGAACGTAGAGCAGCTGGCCAAGCAGGCTACGCAGCCTACATGAGGGATCTCTTGAAAAGCAGCGACCGCAGGGGTCAGGGGCTAGTGAGCATGGAGAGAGATGGAGGTGTCGGTGAAGGGGAGAAAAAAAAAGCCCCTGCTCAGTGCCTCATTTCTTCGAACCGTGTCAGCGCGATTTGCACCCCCTCGTCATGCAGTGTGGCGCGCCGGCACACGTGTGGCAGTTCACCTCCGAAATGTTGGCTTTCCAGTCCTGACTTGGTGGCGCCGTCTGGTATTTTTTCCAGAACTACTCGCAATATGGCGACAGTAGAACCGCCACCTTAATATACGTGAACCCCCAAGAATGCACTGCCGAGACATTTGCACTCCCGTGGTACAGTCCAGAAAGGAGGTGTTGCTCCGTTCCTGTTAAAAAGTCACCTTTTCACAGACGGCTCCCTGGGCGCCTGCATAATTCTCTAAGGGCTGCGCTAATTAAATAGCCGTGACCCCCCAAAAATGCACTTTGTAGGCTGTGACGTCAGCCTCTGTACTCCCGCGCGCAGCCCAGCTTGGCGGCGTTTTTTTTTTTTTTTTTTCTCCTGTGAAAGTTGACCGCTGGTGCCGGATTGTGTGCCGGCTGTATCCTCGCTTTGTGCGCTTTGTAGGGGGGCGCATATACCTTCTGTGTACAGAAGAGGTAGATTTCCTTGCGTGTGGTTAAGGTTGTTCGAAGTTGCTCGGATATGCCAGTCTTTCAGTAGATGCCATCTTCGATGATTCGTTTCGGTGGCGAGGACTACAGTTTGAGAAAAGTTTGCCCTGCAGCCTGCGTCCTCGGAATGCGCCGCTGAGTTTTTTCCGCTTAGGGGTTTCGTTCCCTGGCAAATTTGCGCACGTCGTGTTGGTGTTGCCGTTGCTGTCGAACTGTTTACCTTCACAGAAGTAGACGCGCTTTTCGTAGGAACCCAAAGCCGACACCTGCGGTCCGCACAGACGGATAACTTCTCCAGCGGCAATGCAGAAGGAAAGCATCTGGAATCAATAAAGGAGCTGCTACGGTGTGAATGACGAAAAAAAAAGAAAGATTCGAAGGAACTCGAGGGCGAAGTGCAAAGCTGTACAAACAGGGCAGGTGCGCGTGCGGGGGAGGGAGCGCTGAGGTGTTCTGGTAAAAGGGTAGGTTTGAAGAAAGGAAGAAGAGGGAAGCAATGCCAGGAAAGTTGCAGTGTAACTTTGGCAGCTGGTGGTCGCTGTGAAGGCGTGTAAATATTTTAGTATCATCGAAAAGTTATAGCATCAAAAAAAAATTTGGGGGGGGGGGGGGGGTCAGAACCCCCTCAATCCCCCTAGTTACGGGCCTGGTCTCTCGTCCCGACGAAAGCGCTGCAAGCTAAACAGAGAGGGATGACAGGGGCAAAGAGAATACGTCACGTTTGCCTCATGAACTTGCAATTTTTTTATTCAAATGCACTGCTTTTTCAGTGTGATATATAGTGTGATCCAGCGCGCACGCGTGGATAAGTCGCGGCCTCCCACGGCGATCTCTGTAATGACCAAGCGCGCCATGTTCAAATCAGCCAATGGCCGATAGATGGGCGTTCTTCGTAAGAGTGATTTTTTTAGCACCTTTTGCCATTCGTCAAGAGAAAGCAATTTTTAGCTGACTTTCAGAATTAATTGTGAATCCCAGGCCACGTTCTGCGCTATAATATTTGGCTCGCGTGTTGTCGGGAGCCTCTCCTACCGATCGGCAGCGTTTTGCGACCATGCTCAAAAAGTGTTGCTGAGCCCCTCTAATATTTCTGTACACTCAATTACGCAAAGATTACATTTTTTTTTTACTCTTGTTGGTCCTTGTTTCTCATGTGTTGGTCTTACTACTATTCTGATTCATAGTTATGGAGATCCTTTCTCTTATTTTTTTACACATTATAATTAGCGAATCTAGCTCTTTAAGAACTTTTTTACTATTGCTCTTTTCTACAACAGATTTATTCTACCTTCCTTTGCAAGTTGCCCAAATGAGCGTCGTTCTTATTCTCCAATCACACTTTCATTGTCACCTCTCCGCACTCCCTGTTACCCGTCCACTTCCCTAAAAGAGCAGAGACGAGAAAATTTTTGTTACTGACTTTTTAAGCTTCTATTAGGTCTCATGATCCAGATATACCGTAGATACTATAACTTATCATGTAATTACCATAGTATCATTGATAATCATTGATTTCAGTGTCTTTTACAATAGCTCTTAAGCCCACCTTAAACCATGATAATCTAACACCTCATCGCAATCACATGTGCCAAGATTGTCACGAGGTAGCGCCTTTAAAATAGGGGCCTCGCATGGGTGGGCGACGTGATGAGTATCAGTTGTAGCGTATCAGTGTGGCGCAGTTGTTGCGACGTGATGAGTCAGGGTGTAGCGCAGCAGGCACATTCTATTGGCAAAATTTCTGTGACATCCCCTAGCCAAGAACCCATCGTACTATAGTTAATTACAGCTTCAGAAGTCAGCGGCATTTCCTCCTCGAAGGCAGATGCAGACCAATGGGCGCAAAATCAAGACCAATGTCACGAGAGGACGACCGTAGTCGCTGAGGTGATCGGCTACTGCACTTCGGTCCTCTGGGTGATGTTTGCCATACACGGAGTTAGTTGGGCACCCGCAGCAGCTCTGCAGATGCTCAACTAAATGTGTGTGTCATAAGCTTGCCTCAGAAAAAAAACAATTAAAAAAGTACCAAGACAAGTGGGTCTCTGCCGAACTCATTTGCATTGAAAGTATCGACTCTATTTATTATGTGAAGCCAACGTGAGGAATAAGCAGTATGATGGCTAAGGATGATTTATTCCATGCAAAACACAACATCCATCCGCACTGCTCATAATTTTGCTCACGTCCATTGATTTTTGCATTCAACCGGGCACGCATACAAAACCCACGCACACGCTGTTCATGCTCCACATGTCCAGTCACCAGTAAGATGTCCGTCTTGCCCATGTCACCATGAACATCAGACAAGCCGTACAGTCTGTACTTAGATAGACGTTAATTGCATGTGCACTCCGACCTGGAAGCTTTTGTAAACGATTTTTGGGAGTTTTTGTGACCAAGCCACAGATTGTTGCGGTACTTGAAACACCAGCGGCGTAAGCAACACACCACTGTCTAATGACATGCTGGCACGTTTATGCATTTGAGATCGTGACTCCCATTTATCGCACCATGAGGAGCACACGACAAATCATTCGATGTGACGTGGTGAAGACACATGACTTGAGACAAACTAACCCAAACAACTGAAGTCATAGTACACTATAGCCGAAGTGAAGCCATTGCCAGGCATCACCGTCAGTGAGCATCATGATAATACTGCGACCGTCGACATTATCTTTATCCTAACCCATGGGACATGGCTCCAGGTCCTGCTGAACGCGTTAAACTACTGTCGATGTCACAGGGTGCTGAATGCTTCATTGAGCCTGAGTACGCTGTTCACCTTCAAAATAAAATAACGTCCACTTAACGGACATGATTTGGCCTTCACCAAAAAAACTTATGCATATCAAGCTATCATAGGAAGGCGGCATCTCGGACTTGAAATTTTATATTATTATACATTTAAAAGAATACTAAGGGGAAACAATTAATAATGATAAGCTCTACACTGAGAACTCCAGTGTCAAAAGTTGCATCTTCATAGGTTCATTTTTAAAAGAGAAAATCAAAGCTGAGATGTAATTTTTAAATTTCCGTCGAAATTGCACGTGATGCCACTGGTTTCAAGATTTGTTTTGCATATTTTCGCAACACTGGCTCAAGGAATTTTTCTGAAACTCTCTATTTTAGGTGTTTACATGTACTTCCTTTTTATTGATTAGGAATGATGTAAGACTTAGAAGATGGCATCAAAATTTATGATGTCAAGACGTTTCGTGAGGAAATTTCAAAGTGAGATTTCTACCTGCATTTCTTTCTCACATGCTTACTTGTTTACCAAACCTTGCACCGTGGTAAAACTGGCGTTTTTGGAATTGTGGAAATGTACTACACTATATTATACAAAAAAAAATATATTTTTTCTCTTTAGTGCCTTTTTAAAAGAAGCTAGGCTCGTCAAATTTATAATATATTCATTGCATGACGACAGGACAGATGCTTCGTGAGGTGGCCTTTTTGTGCAAAAGATGCACCGCAGTGACTACAGGGGAAGGGACGTTCTCCAGTGTGGGTGCGGATATGTACAATGAGGTTACTTTTTCGGAAAAATGATGCAGTGCAGTAGTCACAAGAAAAGGGACGCTCTCCCGTGTGACGGCGCATGTGCTCCACGAGTTCACCTTTAGAAAGAAAGGACGCATCGCAGTGAACACAAGGAAAGGGACGCTTTCCTGTGTGCTTGCTGATGTGTCTCACCAGTTGGTTTCTCTGCACAAAAGATGCATTGCAGTGCTCACACGAGAAAGGGCGCTCCCCAGAGTGAAGGCGCATGTGCCGATTGAAGTGGGATTTCAAGGCAAACGATGCACTGCAAAGGACGCAGGAAAAGGGACGCTCTCCAGTATGAGAGCGCATGTGTTCAAGGAGGGCGTACTTCCGCGGAAAGGATGCATTGCAGTGAACGCAGTAAAAGGGACGCTTTTCAGTGTGAGAGCGCATGTGTTCATAAAGCGAGTACTTCCGTGAAAAGGATGCATTGCAGTGGACACAGGTGAAAGAACACCCTGCTGTGTGAATGGCCATGTGCCTAACAAGGTTACTTTTCATCACAAACGATGCATCACAGTGTACACAGAAAAAGAGTCGCTCTTTCGAGTGTGTCCGAAAGTGTTTCATGAGGTCGTTTTTCTGCAAAAAGGATGCATTGCAGTGAACGCAGGAGAAGGGAAGCTTTCCTGCGTGTGTGTGCAAGTGAATCATTAGATTGGAGGCCTGAGTGAATGCAGCAGGACACAAGTGGCACTGGAAGGGGAGCTCGCCCTTGTGTTTCCTAAGGTGGGCGTTCATAGTTGACTTGGTCATGCTCACATAGGTGCATTTCTGGCACGAATGGAGTTGGACTCGTATAGACGCCATTGGAGAAGGCTGCCTCAGGGCCACAAAGGACAATGAACCTGCAAAGCAATCGAGAAAATACACAGCCCATGTAAAGTGCAATCCAGAATGGAATCGAACTAAACAGCAGGCCATTAACAAGCGTTGCTGCACACTTAAGTGACATAGATGATCACCTTTTCCCACCCAAAACCAAAGCTACATTTATGGCAATCGAGTATGTTATCGCAGCAAATCTCTTATGGCAATTTCCATCATGCTGCAGATCAATTCTGTGCTTATAGAGGTGTTGCAGTGCTTTTGGAACATTGCCACAAAACGCTTCAGGTCAGTAGTCGAGGCTCATAAAAAACATGTGAGGCCGAACATTATTCTGAAGCACGCAACCCAGAATTAACAATTATACATTAAACTCATCCGGAAATCACTCATTCTTCTCTCGACAAATGATGCCATAATCCAAAATGGCCGCACCACGAAAGCATCCACAACCTTTTTCTTCATTTGAACATTGTGGGCTGTATAGTTACCTCGGCCACCCAGGGATGCCACGAGGTGCCCCCCCTCAACGTGAAAGTACATAAGTTGCGTGTTTCAATAAGAAAAAAATGTAAGACAATGCTTAAAGTCGTGAAGTGCGCTGGCGAACAGACGTAGCTTATCACCCTTTGTCATCTTCACGGGCGTGGTTTTCAGCTCACTCGCTGGTACAAATTAGTAGACAAATCGCTCATAGCAAGCAACATATCCCTGTAACTCAGCTCGTATTTGACGAACTTAAAACAATTCTTCTGCAGCCTATTTAGGAGGCAATAAGATCTTCTAATAAAATCGTTATATGATTACTTGGTAAGCTCTTGCTCAGTGCCTCTCAAACAAAGAAACACCAGCTACTGAAAAAATATTCTAGTTTAGATGCCATTTCTTAAAGTATGTGACAATAAACACTAACCCATAAATTGCCCATTGTAGCCTTTTTTTTTTGCATAGAAGTATTAATATAACACTACACATCAATAAAAACCAGTACATGTACCAATACATTGAATTATATGAAACAAAATGAAAGAAAGAAGTTAATACGAAGCAAACTGGAAAATGTTAAGACAGTAAGAACATTCACATGTGTCAGAAAGCCACGTCTGCTTTGGTGATCATCATAACTACGAGGACATGTATGCACATTACACAAGGAAGTGCTTCTTTATATTACTAGTGTAGTTTGCACATTTCCTACCAATGTGCACTTCAATAAAAGCAACAGATATTGTTTCTGTCAGACGGCCACACACATGGGAAAATATTTCCCTTTATTACTACAATACATCACTCACTATGCTTAGTTGAGATGATCGCTATACAACACAAACTAGCTAGGAAGGCTGTCTTCAGGTATACATAATCAAACAGTATTGAAATTTGGGATACACTATTCTAAAGGATATACTCAAGCCGGAGCACTAAGTGGATTTTTAAGCACGCCTTGACAGGAAGGGCCAAAGGCAATACGATTGATAAAATTGAGAAAAGTATAACATTTGATAAAGTAAGATGATTTTGCCACCTTTAGGTGACCTTACCAAAAAATTATTTCTGGCTAAATGGCACTGCAACGAGAGAATAGATAAAGTAAATCTTGATTGTGGTTTACACAAAATCTCTGGATGAATATTCTAAGAAGCTTCATAGGGTGTCAGCCCACTTTAGTTACACGTAAAACTAAGGAAACGTGTTCAGTTGAGCACTCAAAACCTGAACACTTGTGAAATCAGGTTATGGATCAGCCCTTAGGTGATGAGCCCTGTCATGCAAAATAAGAAACAAACTAGAGAAAAAAATGCACATCACACAGCATGCAATGATAGTAAAAATAATAGGACTAACAATGAGATGTCAGAGGATGGCAGAATGGGTCAGAAGGCAAACAGGCGTATCAAGTATCCCAATTGGCATCACACAATTGAAATGGATCAGGGCTGGCCACGTAAAGCATAGGACTAATAAGTGCGATGGGAATCGCAGTCGAAGCAGGCAGAGAGATGAAATGACAAAATTGAGAAGTTTGCAGGAATAAAATAGATGCAGCTCACACGGGACAGGGTAAACTGCAGATCATTTGCTGAGAATAATGATGATGATAAATAATTCGTAAGTATTTACAGCGGCGATTCTGAATGCATGTAAAGCGTATTTGTAGGGCAACACGTGGCATGACGTCATGCCTGCCACACGCTCGAGCACACCGGTGGCTCGACGCGATTCTGACACCCAAAAATGCCTTGGGAGACATGGCTTTTCCTTTAAAATCTCAACAGCAGGCAGATGTATCATGGAACAAATATTGAAGATAAGCTGGACAGGTGTCAGCTTCCCATCTCGTCAAAGTAAACGTGCACGCGCAGCATACAACGCGAACTTCGCAGAAACAAGGGGTGCACAGAAGGCCCACAGGCCGATCATAAACTACACATTACTTGCGTTAGGTTGGATTTAAACGATATCATATACTAGTTTCGTGACACAGGAACTGCCGGATAGCAAATGCTAGAGCCATAAGGAGCCGTAAGATAGGGCTTAAAGTTAATTTGCAGAAAACGAAAGTAATGTACAACAATCTCGGAAGAGGACAGCACTTTGAAATAGGTAACAGTGCAGCTTGAAGTTGTAAAAGGCTGCGTATACTTAGGACAGGTAATAACTGCGGAGCCGAACCACGAGTCAATGGGTGGAGCACATTCGGCAAGCACTCTCAAATCATGACTGGTAGATTGCTACTATCCCTCAGGAGGAAGGTATATAACAGGTGCATCTTACCGGTACTTACCTGCAGAAGAGAAACCTGGAGGCTTACAAAGAGAATCCAGCTTAATTTGAGGACGACGCAGCGAGCAATGGAAAGAAAAATGATAGGTGTAACCTTAAGAGACAAGTACAGAGCAGAGTGGATCAGGGAACAAACTGGGGTTAAGGATATCATTGTTGAAATGAAGAAGAGAAAATGGACATGGGCCGGGCATGTAGCGCGTAGACAGGATAACCGCTGGTAATCGAAGGTAACTGACTGGTTTCCCAAAGAAGGCAAGCGGGTTAGGGGGAGACAGAAAGTTAGGTGGGCCGATGAGATTAAAAAGTTTGCAGGTATAAAGTGGCAGCAGCAAGCACAGGATCGAGTTGACTGGCGGATTATGGGAGAGGCCTTTTTCCTGCATTAGACATAGTCAGGCTGATGATGATGATATGGTTACACACGTGAGAAACTGAAGTGAGGGGGAGGACTGACATAAGGATGGCAAGGAGGTGAGAGAGCGGGTATGTACCAAGCAGCTCGTAATTTGTAGCACGCACAGTTGACAGGGGCACAAGGAAGAGAGAAGATGACTTAGTGTTTCCTTTTTGTGCATCCCTATCAATTGTGCTCAGTAAAAATTTTACCTCAAACACTGACCAACTCGCCATACAATCAGTTATACTACCAAGCATCTCCTAGTGTGCCATAGTAGTGCATAAAATAGCACAGCAATGGTGTTGGTGAGAAAGTTAGGGTGGGAGGAATGATAAGGAAAAGAGGAGAGAATAAAGATGGCCGAGTTTAGTATATTGCTTAGTACGAAGATGGGAAAGAAAGTGAGGGTGCTGGTTGGAGAGTGAGGAGAACAAAATGAAGGGGTGAGGATAAACCACAAGCAGCATAGCTATGTAGAACAAGGGAGTGTGAAAAAGAAATGAGGATAAAGAGGAGTCAAATGAGAGAAAGAAGGAGAGATGTCAATACAGAAAGACATGAAGATAGATGACAGTAAGAAGTAGAAAAGAAATTAAGAGAGATGACAGTAAGAAGAAGGTCAAGGAAGAACTCTATCTGTGTTTGCCAAGAAGTGGTGCTTACTTGCCAGCTCCACTGCTTACTCGTAATTCACAGGCGTGGAATGGCCTTAACATTTTTATCTCACAGTAAATGAGGAGCCATACCTGAAGAAACAGCTCGAGGCTCTGTTTGCGTAGCACTTGTTGATAAAATTTTCTTTTCAACAGCTTGTGATGCTTCGTGGCGGGTTTTTAGTCGCATTTGAACAGATTTATCTGCGACATAGCCTGGCTCACATGCTGGCTCCGGTGATGTTTCTGCAGCCTTTCCCAACTCGTGATGCAGACCTGGTGCTGCTTCATGAGCTGGCTCTGCTGCGAAGGCCTTCTGAAAAAATGAATCAACTTGTGTTGCAGCAAGTGACAACGCTTCGGCTAACGCCCAGAAAGGAAATGAAAGACCTCATAAATTATCTGTTTCACTACATTGACTTGGCAATTTTCTGCCAGCATAACTAAGGATCCCCGAGTAGGAACTCGGGGATCCTTAACATTGTGAGCAGCAGGAGTAGTAAGGAAAGCCAAGCTAGTCGGTATGCACCCATTTTGGCATATCGCAAACAATACAGGGACTCAGGCCAGAAAGGCAATACAGGCCCTAACTTTAAACCGACGCTCATTTTCAGAAAGACGACATATAAACATGCATCTGGTCACGCACAATGAATCCATCCGACAGCAGAAGATAATCTGCACTTCCTTTTCCCCATCTATAACCCTGAAACCAGCAAACCTAGTTTCTTATCCAACAAGGCTATAGACAGGTGGCTTATGCAAAAAGCTTTGGTTAACTCTCTAGCTATTCGATCGCCATTTGGAATATCATGGTTGTGTCATCACAACAAGTGACACATTGGCACTCAATGCAAATAATGGGACAGCCGAATACATGGTCCACATTTGAAGGAAAAATAATGTTCACGAAGTCGAACATTTACCCAAGGTCCCAATGTGTTCCAACATGTATGTGTCGCATGGTACTGGCCATATATATACAACTTCCCTCTTGTTGCTTTTAATAAATTGAATGATTTATAGCACATGACTCATTGTCCATTCAAGTTACTACTTTCTTTGCTATAGATAAGATCAACAGTAGGGCAGACACATAGGTTAAGTTTGGTTTTCATGGAATATAATACTTTCACCTATTTTCTGCCAATACTTTTTAGGCGACGGGAGTTGCCATGGACAAACGACACTATTAGCTGGGACTGTTACGGCCTTTCGGAAATGAAAACTTAGCCAGCTGATTCTCTCAATTTGGTCTTTGAGATTAATGTTGGAACACTCATATGATAAAGTGTTGGTTCAAGTTGAAAGTTACATTAAAGGCCAACTCCGGCGATTTTTCGAGGTCAGTGGATCTCAATGAAATTCACTGGGTACGTTCATTTGCACGTTCGTGCCATTCATGCCAAATAGCAGGCTGAGTTTCACAGACTCTTTTCAAATGAATTTTATAGCTTGCCTCGAAACGTTCACCTCGCTTGCCAGAATGAATGGCAACATTGTGTGTGTGACGTTGAGTATTGCCTCGCGAAAGTGACGAACTGATGTGCCACTGCAGTGTCTGCTTGTCTGCTATGGATTGTGTGGGTTTGGCTGGCACTTCCATGGTTGAGAGTGCAATTTCCTTTTCCGTGTTGGTGGGCATGCGATAGGCGCCAAGTGGTATTGCGTTGTAAGCCACACACGATTCACCATATATTCACCATAACAGCGTAAACATTTTAGTCAATCGCCGCTGACATGTAATGCCATCTGGCGGGCATTGTGTGCAATCAGGCAGGTTCTGGCAGCGTCAGACAAACCTTTACGTCACACGTAGAAGCGCACTCGGTTGAATTTCAGTATTGGGGTTTTTCGATAATTAAAAATCATTTTTTAGTTTTTGAGCGTTTCAGTTATCGGGCGCGTGAGAAGAGTGTCTAAGGAATAAAAAAGCACCATTATCCTGACATGGTAAAAAAATCGCTGGAGTTGGCCTTTTAAGGGGAAAGCAAGCTTGGATTCATTACACTAGAAAAGTGACCATCAGTTTCAAAAGCAATCATGAAAAAATGTCCTGTAACCCGAATTTACGGTTTGATGACGTCACCATAATCACAAATTGCCGAAACTTGCGATGTAATCACCCCGTTTTTCTGAAAATTATCGCATGGGCCATGATGTGCTGATTACGCACACAGTGCCCAATGAGGAGTTGTGCACGAAGTTTGCAGTGCTTCCAATCAAAATCAAGATAAGCACAGAAAACTTCTTTCATCTTTTATTTAGTGGGAAGGAGGGGCTTGAAAGCAGGCATAGATCCAGCTATTAATTTTAGGGTTGGGTGGTTGCTTGAAGTGAAACCGGCGAGGGGGAGTCCTGACTTATTTTTGTGGTTACTATTATCACAAAAACACAATAAGACTGTAAATACTCTGAATTTGTTCCACTCATTTGTCCTGACATGACAGACACTGATGGGGTGCTGGCACAGGCTTTGTAATGCGGTTGCCCATTGTGATGGTTAAGGACGTTCGTCACTATGCTTGTCGATAGCGGACGAAAAAGGATTAACATCAACAATTGATGCGAACAAAATGAGCTTTATATTGCGCACTAGAGAGGAAATGGCAGGTGAAAATAAAACTATATATACAACCCTACACGCCAAGCATCACGCCAACTGCACGAGAGTCAGACCTCTATGTGCGGAGAGCTCGCGGCTACGCTTACTCAAGTGTCCAGCGCGTATAGTTCTCGGTTCGCAAACAGAAACCGCTGCCTCACAGTTTGGGTCCCCGTCGTCCCGACATGATGCGGTCGTCGACGTGCGCGAGGGCAAAGGTGGCACGGCTGGAACGGCAGACGGCGCACGGATACGCTACCGTGTGCAGCGCCGTTGAGTCGGACGTCGCGGCCAACGCAGCAGTCAGGGTCGCAACTCCGGAGGTCCAGGATCAGGCCACGGCTCACGAGGACCACACCCGGTAGGTCTCGCACACGAACCTGCTCCCGGCCACTGCACCCAGGCAGGAACCGTTCTGCAGGCCCCGTCTTTGGACCTTGTACAGGCCGACGGACTCGACCCCGAACAGGCACATCGGAGCTCGACCTGGCCGACACGTACAAGTCCCACGTCCGGCTTAGGAACGCTGCCAGGAACTCGTACTCTCGAGCAGCGCACCCCTTCGTCTGCCTTCGTGGTCCTCCGTGCACACGCCCGCGTCTCGCCCGGCAGAACGTCTCGCTCGTCCCTTGCCGATGTGCGACACTCTGGTGACACCGGCGCTTGATGGCATGGGTGCGACTACTGAGCAGTCAACCCGCATCGGAGACGCAATGCTCCATGCGGGGAATGGCTAGCCCGTCCAGCGAAGAGCGTGCGCCGAGACGCGATGCTCGACGCAACCGTGACCATTAGCCAGGCTACGTTCATCGCTGTGTTGAACGGCTGACCGCGGAGACGCCTCGCCAAGATCCGCGATGCCCTCGGCAAGGAAGAGAACAGCAGGCCAGGCCGCGCCCGGAGATGCAGTACTCGTGCCGGCAATGCCGCCCCAGCTGGTAGTTGGACGACAGTAGCATGGACAGCCGCGTTCCCTGGCCGGAACCTGGATCGCCTACGTCCGACGCTTCGGCCCGCTGTCTCCCGTCTGTCACTGCTCCGGCTCGTCCTCAGCCACACAGCCTACTGCCACGTAATGGTCGCACGTGGCCCAATCGTGGCACGCCACCTCTATGGGCCACCACTGGTCATCAGCTGATTGGCGCACAGTTGCCTCGTAATCACACGTGCCTTCTTCTCTTCTTCATTTTTTGTTGTCGCCTTCGTGCCACCTGCCCTCCGCTCGTCTTCTTCAGTTCTGGTTTGACGTTCCTCGGCGTCTTTAAGTCCTTTCCTTACACCCATACCACCTCCACCCCTCTGGTTCAAAACTAGTTAAAAAAAAAATGTAATGAGTGGAAGGTCATGTGTACTCGAATAGATGCTCCTCTTTGCACAGATGTTTTTCAAAGCCGTACATATTTGGATCATCACACAAGTAACCCTTCAATGCAAAATATTTACATTGGCATAACCAAGGGATACCTTTTGTACTATATCTATGTCGTTAGCATAGCATGGAGTGATGAAAAAGAGGCCTCACTTGCGGGCAACGAGCTATTTACCTGATAAGCTGCCACATTGAGCACTTGTAGTTACTCTTGCTGGGCTGTACAGACAGAGGGAGGAGGGCTACCGAGTTACGCACCTTTGTTCTGTGCACAGGCCCAAATGCGTCGAGTTGGTCTTTGGCCCGTAAGGAATAATAGCATTTTATTTCGTAAGTTGTAATGAGAATTCTTGCTAGTCTGTTGTTCAAAACTTTATTTTTTTTTTTTCATACACTTGCTATAAGAGAAGCTGCATCTTTTTTTGGGGCGCCGTGAGGGATTGTCACGGATTACGGGCTGCTGCTGTGGGCGATGAACTGAGACATGACTCTGTTAACAAGACCCTTTTAATAAACACTCACCGCACAAAAAATACATAGAAATGCACAAAACAGCTAGTAATAATTTCGAACTAAGCAACCACCTATAAACACACCCCCATACTGAATACTAAACTTTGTCCGGCAACTTTATATAGCCTTAGGGCTCCTCATCGACTTTAATTGTCCTCCCAGCAGACCCACTTCTTATCACTGTCCCGACCCATCATGTCGGATACCTGTTGAAGTCCTCGGAACTCTTGACGAAAGTCATCGTCATTGCCGCTGCCAACGCGGTCGCCCGTAGTCGTCGTCTTACATTGTTGCTGACGTGGCAGATGTCTCGGTAATTGGGCCTAGTGGCCTCTGGCGATACCCGGTGCTGCAAGGCGACGTGGCCACCTTGGGACCGTCTTCGGCGGCTTGCTTCGAAGGGGGCTTGGGCTAGGAATGTCGGCGGTCACTGAGCGCGGCAGCTGCATCCCGAGCAGCCTTCCTCGCAGCAAGTCAACGTCTCCGCCCACTTCCCAGGAACGCCCGTATCACAAGTTGTCGAGTTGTAGTCTCGACACTCCGCCACCAGTGCACTTGCTGGCGAAGCGACCTTCTCCTTGCAAGTACACCTCGACAATGCCAGCTCGTTGCTGCTCACGCCCCGATCTCACGGCTCGGGCCTTACTGTACGATGCACGCGCTCGTGCAGTACCGATCGTCGTCTATAGTTGGTTGTCTTCTTTTTTTTTCTCCTTCTGAAGGGTGATTGCTCATGACAGGGATGTTGAAACATTGGTTAACATTCATCATAAACAGCTTATTCCATACAGTCTCTATCCCTTGTCTTTGGTCCGTGTTGGTCAGCACAGTTTAAAAGAAACCACTAGTAGAGTACGGTGGCTTTGAAACGAGCCACGATGCGCATATGGGCAAACTGATTTGCTATAGTATGTGGTGTGGAGGTGATGTGTGGTGACTGAGCCAACCAACGTACGCAGATAGTCCACAGATTTCAGCTTGCAAATCTCCTGATCACAGCACTGTTGTATTCCCCAATTTCACTACTGGTAACAGCCTGTAGCAGATAAATCTTGTATATTTTCCGATTCTAGAAAATACTGGCTTCAAGCTCTGTCTTTGACTATAATGGTCAAAGTATTTTGACCGATCGAAATTCAAAGTAGAGAGAAACTTATTGGTTCACCCAATGATGTGATCCGAACTTCTAAGTTTTTCATAACTGTTCAATAGTACCTCAGCTCAAAGCAAGGTCACTGACCAATGCACGTTGCAAGAGCGGAAACCTTCCTCCACCTTACTAGCTCGCCTAATGCACATGCTGTGCTACTCATACTTAATTCAGGGACTAGTCAAGTGTTTCCTTCGAATTTTGTAAGGAAATTTCGATCTATGGCTGCAGCTAAGCATGCTAGCTCACGGCTTTAAAACTTTTTGTTTATAAATTAAGATACTTAAACATAATCAGTTTCATCATAAACTGCACTGTTACAGCTGAATTTACGTTATTGGTCACAAAAGTTCCGCCTGTGGAAAATTCCAGAGGTATATTTTATGAACAGCATCAGAAATTCGTTGTGCGCCAACATTTATTTTCAGTTTTGTAAGTGACGGCTGTAAGATACGAATCATGCACTGCCTTCCTCTGTGCGCACGAGAGCTTCGCACGTCACCCACCTGGCATGCAGCATAATATTCAACATTTGACATCTTGAATATTTCCGTCTCATCGAGAATGCTGCTCGAGGTGCCTGCGATTCGTACCGTTTGTAAACGTAGACAGACCGCACCACATCTAGCTTCGGTCAGCAGATCTAACCATCATTCCCGGTCTACGCCTTCGCTATAACTCTGATAGTACTCACTGCCACAAAAATGTTTCGAGCGGAAAACAGTGGTTTCGGAAAGCTTCAAATTGCTTCACTTTCTGGCAGCGATAGCCTGAGCAGCTACCCTGCGAAGTTGTGAAACACTGCTTACATCGTTTCGTCCAGCGGTGCTCGTACAGCCATACGCAGAGCAAAAGGCCAGCATGATGATACTATGAAACCAAGCTCTCCTTCCGGCAGCTCTTCCTCGAAGCGAAAACCATAAACGTGACGCGGGTGCGCTGATTATTTAGATTAATAAGGAACCCTGACACGTAAAACCTCAGCACAGTGATGATGCGAGCGACCATGCCGTGTCTCTATTAGGGCGGCTCAGCGTAAACGAACATACACCGATAGCACCGATAGACAGCGATTCGTGTATCGCCTTCCTCCGTGGTATATCGTGAGCGCCGCCATCATGGCTTCAAAACACACGAAAAACAAAAAAACATCACCATGAACAACGGTGGAGGACCGTGCCATAAACGCACAAAGGTCACCGCCGGTCATCTATGGCCGGTCATCTATGGCAGCGCTGCCTACGTAGGGGTAAGGGTCTTTGTACTTGGCCTTTGAAATCGGCAATTTGATGTTTGTTACTAATTTCAGAGGATGCCTTGTATTGAAAAAGTTGCTTTTTGAATGACAACGTCATTTACGTAAGGTTACCTATAATTAAGTTAACGCTTTTAAAAAACATTACGTTATTTTTGTTGCATATAGATAGGCTCCAAAAATATGAAAACGTATTTGAAGACACAATAATGATGATGATGATGATGATTAAAGACCTCTTCTTTGAATTGGGGTGACGGCATGCGCCATCTAGCCTACCTTAATAGTTCGAGTTTAAATTCTGTCCCTCAACTCGGATGTCTTTTTAATTTTGCCCAGCCGCTACTCTTGGCTGGGATGTTATTTTATCGACTTCTCTGCTTTTCCTCCACCAATACTCCAGCCGCTGCTTAGTAATACCTACTGCTGACCAGTTAATGCTTCCATCAACCGCGAAGCCCAGCGCCTCAGGAAGTGTGACCTTCCCCCCATTTCTATCCGGCTGAATCTTTTGACATTCCATGACTATGTGGTCGATTGTTTCTTTATTTATGCCACATCCAACACATGTCTCATCCTGTGACGAATATTTGCTCCTGTAAGTTAGAGTTCTCAAGCAGCCAGCCCGCGCCTCAAAGAGCAACGCACTACCTTTATTGTTGTCATAAAAGTTCTCTTTCCGGATCTCTTGTTTGCTTGCCTTGTAGATTCCCAGCGATCCCTTCTTTTCCATCCTCTCTTTCCACATGAGCGTCTGTTTCCCTCACTTGCTTTTTAACTGGCCCCCTTTGCTTATTTGCCGCGGTCAAGTTATATTTAGTCGCCAGCTTTCGCGTCCTCTTCTGCCATTTGGTGTCCACACTTTTCAGGTACAGGTATCTGTGCACTCTGGCTGCCCAGTTCTTCTCATCTAAATGTCTAAGTCGCTCCTCAAACCATATTTTACTTTGTGCTTCCCTCGCCTCAAATGAAGCCCAACCCATATCGCCTTGTACAGCCTCGTTTGTAGTCTTATACTGTGAGCTCCCAGAGCTAACCTGCCGACTGCCTTTTGGTTAACCTCCAGCCCCGACAGGATATCTGACTTTAAGCATAATACGGCATTAGAGAACGTGAGCGCCGGCACCATTACCCCTTTCCAGATGCCTCGTACTACCTCGTACTTATTGTGTCCCCAAAGTGCTCTATGTTTCATTACTGCTGCATTTCGTCTCCATTTCAGTTTGAGGTGTTCTTCATGAGCATTCAGGTAGCCTTTTCCTTCATTAAGCCAGATACCCAAGTATTTGTACTTATTTACTAATGGTATGGCTTCCTGTTGTATCCTTATTGGTGCTACATGAGCTTCCTCGTTGAACACCATGACTCCAGATTTCTGTGGGTTAAAATGTAGGCCTAGGTACGTTGCCTCATCACCACAAATGTCAGCCAGTTTTTGAAGTTCTTCCGCATTATCCGCCAGCAGCACTATATCGTCTGCGTACATCAATCCCGGAATCCGTTGCTCCACTAACACTCCATTGCTTCGGTGTGACAAATCAAAGCCCAATCCACTCTCCTCTAGTCGTCTTTCCATTCCTCTAATGTACAGTGTGAACAGCAATGGCGAAAGAGGGCACCCCTGTTTTAAACCTCTTCGAATGTACACGGGCTCTGTGTATGTACGCCCTTCCCATGTAATGTGTGCCTTGTTACCCTCATATATTGCCCTTAGCAGCCCTACAAATTCCGACCCAATCCCCTCCTCTTCCAGTATATGCCACAGCAATCCCCTGTCCACGTTGTCATAGGCACCCTTTATGTCCAGAAACAGTAGCCATGTTGGTCTGCCCTGTGCTGCCGAAATTTCGATGGTCTGGGTTATGACGAAAAGATTGTCTTCCAAGCGTCGACCCGGCCTAAATCCATTCTGCAGTTCCCCTAAAATACCGTTACTTTCAACCCACTTCAACAACTCGGCTTTGATGGCTTGTATAGCTAATCTATAGAGCACTGACGTGACTGTAATCGGCCTGTAAGAGCTCGCCTTGTCCTTTTCTCCCTTGCCTTTGTAAATCAAACTCATTCTACTTTCGCGCCAGTGCGCAGGAATCCTCTTGGATTTTATAGCGCGCTCGATGGCTCCATACAAGTGCGCCTGTCCCGCTGGTCCCAAATGGTTGATAATCTCTATCGGGATTCCATCCGGTCCTGTTGCCGTACTTTTGGGAACACTGTGTTCTGCCTTTTTCCAGTCCAAAAATTCGATATTAAATTTTTCATCTGCCACTCTTTTATTTTCCACCTGTGTCCAGTTAGCCGACCTCTCGCGTGCTTGGCCGAAAGTATTTCCTATGACTCCATGTAGGTATTCTAATGCGCTGTCCCCCAGGAGAACGTTACCGTCCCCGTCCTGTATCTGAGTCTGCATCTCTTTAGTCGTCGTTCCCAATGCTTTTAAATGGTTCCAGAGTTTTCGGGGGGCGCTCTTATCCTTCTTACGTATGTCTGATACCCATTTCTCACTCGCAGCTTTAATCTTCGCTTGTACTAGTTTCTGCACCTCAAATTTCTTTTCTCGGTACTGGCTCCACCGTAACTGCACCTCATCATCCTGATATCCCATTTGCTTTGCTTTTCTGTGCAGTCTAGAGGCCCGTCGTCGCTCTTCAATAGCCAGTTTAATTTCCTTGTCCCACCAGCTTCGTGGTTTCCGTTTACCCCTCCAGCGGTTTTTTTTCCTTACTTTGTTTATTTCCTTTTGTATACAACTAACAACCTCGTCATATTCCCACACCTTTGTTGGCTGTGCTTCTAATTCTCTTTCGATGCTATTGACGATGTCTGCTATCTGCTTTTCGCTTACTTTCGGGAGCCCAACCTCCTGTGTTTTCTTCCTAGCCCCCCCCCACTGTCAAATTTCAGGATTATACGCCTGTGGTCGCTGCCCAGACTGTTTTCTCCTTCTTCATCTATCGTCATTTGGTTCAACCGCTCGTACGAGCTGAGACCAGGCCGTAGTCTATGCAAGACTGTCTACTGCCGCTTTGCCACGTTATCTGCCCGTCGCATTTATGTTCCCGGTTAACTATTACCAGTTGCTGTTCTTCACACATATCGATAACCATTGCACCGTTATAGTCTGTATATCCATCCAGATCCTCAATGTGGGCATTTAAATCTCCTACTAATATCACCTCGCCAGCTTCTTTAAATTTTTTCATGTCCTTCCTGAGGCAGTCCACCCACTCTTTATTTTGTTCTCTGGCGTCATTCCCTGTCCACAGATAGGCCACTCCCAACCGTGTCTTTTTTCCCCCCACCGTTCCACTAACCCATAAGTGCTCCTTACAGGCCTGATTTTCCCTCTCCCAATTCCCTCCTCGCCTAATCAACATCCCCACGCCTCCACCCTTCCTTTCTCCCGCTGCCCTGTTGCACCCCACCCATACGTAATCATCCATCACTGGTGGCTCCTCCATATCTCTCAGGTGGGTTTCTGTCAGGGCGTACACGTCAATTTCTTCTTTCTCGAGTTGGGTTTGTATCTCCATCCATTTTTCCTGCTTGCGGCCGCCTTGCATGTTTATATAACTAATTTTAATCCCCCGGTTATTTTCCTTTTCTTTCCTTTGTGTTTCCGCCGCCGTGCATCATTGCCCCTTCCTTCCTGCCTTTCACCACCCCCTCCACTCAGTCCGCCTTCTTCTTGAACGTTTGGCCTCCCCCCAAAAAAGCCACCGCGCGGGCTGCCAATCGGTGCCCTACATGCTCAGCTAGACGGTTACTAAAGTGTATGCCGTCAGACACAAACGCCCTGTTGCGGCCTGCACGGACCAGGTTTCGGTTCAGGTTGACCACTTCGAACTTCATCGTTTTACCCAGAGTCCAAAGCTCCCTGTTTGCCGTAACCACCGCCCTTTCTACGTGGACTCCCTGTTTCTGCACCTCCGGCACCATGCAGACAGCAATCTGCACATCCTCCGAAGTCGCCCTCAGCTCAGTGATCCCCTTCGCAATCTGCTTTGCGAACCCTCCCCCGCGTCCCTGCAACACATCGTTCACACCCCCCATTACCACTACTAAACTGCGGTCCTCCATTCTATCCCACAGTTGCTCCTTTGCTTGTTGCATCACTTCCCCTACTCTTTTTCCGGGAAGCTTGCTCACCTTCACGCGTTCGTCGTCTCCCACCCTCCCCTTAATCACCTCTCCCACCCTGGCCATGTTGGAGTCGCCGACTACAATCACTTGGCGCCTCCTCTGGTCCTTAGCCGGCACTTTTGCAGGTGTTCGGGGACTACTGTGGTTGACCACGGCAGCCAAGGACCTGGCTGGCGATCCCCCACTTCCCGGCGCCGCCTCGGGGCTTTCTTTGTTACCCGAGTCCGCTCTGCGTTGACGGACACCGCTCGTGCGCGCAGCATCAGTCACCCCCTGTGGGTCTGCGTTCCCGCCGGCGTGCCGCTCGTTGTTCTGAGCCCGCGCACTCGCGTCGTCTCCTGCCGCCGGAGTCACGAGCTCTTCCACCCGCTTTTCAAGCTGGGCCTGCTTTTCCCGAGCTTCGTCCAGTTCGGCCACCGTGCGCACCAACTGGGCGGTCTTCGCCTGACCCGCCTTGTCAAGCTCGGCCACTTGCGCCTCGAGAGCCTCCCGCGCTTCTCTTTCCTCCCTCAGGTACCCCCTAGTTAAGTAGCGCCACCACCATAGTTCTGACGACGGCCGCTTTTTAAGTGACCGCCGATAATCCGGCAGGCAAAAAAAATCTAGGAGGCTATGGTACAGTGCACTAGAAGGGGGTAGTGGAGTGAACGATGAGGTGGCCGCGCCGCATCTCGGCTGATTCTCCGGCAGGTGACAGTAGCGGCGGCGCTGTAGTTTTATGGTACTGTACATGTAGTTCCATGGTACTGTACTGTACTGTAGTTCCATGGTACCACAGAGGAAGGAAAAGTACCTTTCCTTCCTCCGTGCATGGTACTGTACA